AGCGTCTCACTCTGTCGCCCCAGGTAGAGTGTGTGGCTTCATCATAGCTCACAGCAACCTCAAACTCCTGTGCTGAAGCCATCCTCCTGCCTCAGCCTCCTGAGTAGCTGGGACTACAGTCCGTGCATTATCATCTTAATGTGCTGCTGAATTTGGTTTGTGATATTGCGTTGAAGGTTTGGACATTGTCGTTCATAGAGGACACGGCCCTGCTGTTTGCTCACGGTGTCTCTGTGCAGCCTTGGTACCAGGCGATGCCGGCCACACAGTGAGTCAGGGAGTGTTCCTTCCTCTCGGTGTTTTGGAAAAGTCTGAGGAAGCTCAATTCTAGTTCTTTAAATGTTTGGTAGAATTTACCAGTGAAGTCATTAGGTCTAGGCATTTCTTTGTCCGAGGTTTTCAGTTACATATTCATTCTCCCTAATAATCATAGATATGTTCAGATTTCCCATTCCTCCTGATTCGGTCTCAGTAGCCTTTGTGTTTCTAGGAATTTGTCCGTCTCACCTAGGTCACCCGGCGTATTGGTGTGCGGTCATTCGCAGCGCTCCTCCCTCCAAGCCGGCGGCGGCTGTGGGGGTCTGGCCGGGACAAGCTGCGCTCCGCCACCAGTTGGTCATTAGCTCACTCGCCAGGGCTGGTGGCCTCAGCCCCTTCGGCCCGGAGAGCAGCTGCCTCGCCCCATTCAGCCACCGCATCTGGGGCCCCTTTCTTAAGACTGTTCCTTTCACCCCTGCCCTGGTTGCCCTGCTCCCAGCGCCCAGGAGGGCTTGATGGACGCGTGCCCCTCGAGTCATCGAGCAACAGATGCTGCCAGAGCAGAGCGTCCCCGGCACTGGCTGCTCTCAGGGCTCAAGCTCGGAACCCCCCTTGCCGGAGGCTCCTTGATTCCCCCCTGGCTCCCTGACTGCCCCTCCGTCCCTCTGCCCCCAGGGATGTCTGTCCAGGCAGGGGCCGGCCGGGATGGCTCATCCCACCGCAGGCCCCTGGCACAGAGGGTCAGCCGGTGGCGTTTGCAGAGCGGGTGAAGGTTCACTGCGGTGACGAGCCCACCGGGGAGGGCGTGGCAGCCGCGAAGCAGTGAGATTGGGCCTCCTGCCAGAGGGTGCCGGCTGGACCGGGACCCTCGGCCCGGGCCCTGGGTCCCGGGACCTCGTCACTGACTCTGTCCCTCCTGCCCGCAGGGTCGGCTGGCGGCCGGCCAGGTGGGTCGGCTGTCCCGCCCAGCTCCCCCGTCTACCTGGACCTGGCCTACCTGCCCGGCGGGAGCAGTGCCCGCCTGGTGGACGAGGAGTTCTTCCGCAGGGTGCGCGCGCTCTGCTACGTGGTCAGCGGCCAGGACCGGCACAAGGAGGAGGGCATGCGGGCCATGCTGGACGCGCTGCTGGCCAGCAAGCAGCAGTGGGACCGCGACCTCCAGGTGTGTGCCACCCTGCAGCCTCAGACGGTGAACCTTGCCTGCCCAGGCGGGCTGAGCCGCGCTCGACCCACACGGCCCTGCCAGGCAGCTGCGGCCCCTGTGCCACACAGGGCTGAGGGCGGACACGGGAGTCCCACCCCGCTCAGCCCTCAGGTGACCCTTCGGGCTGCGTTTCTGTGGGGTCACCTTCCTCATTGGCTGCGCAGGAAGCGGGGGGGGGGAGGGCGCAGGGCCAGGGCGGCTTTATCCCCTCCCCGACACCCCCTCACTCGACCACACCTCTGTCGTGCCGCTCAGCTGGCAACGGAGTGGGTGGGCGCGCAGGTTCCGCGGAGCTGAGAGCCGACCCCTGAGGGCTGGGGTCACCCTGAAGGCCGCAGGCAGCCATGAGATTGAAACGGAGCCTGGGAGGGTGAGGCGAGTTTGGGTGGGGGAGGGATTGTCACGCTGCGCATCTGGGCGTGCGGCCCGGGCAGAGGCACAGCCCAGGCGCAGGCGCAGGGCTGGAGCGAGGCTGGCGTGCTCCAGGGCCAGGAGGGAGGCGCGAGAGAGGAAGCGGGAGTTGGCCTGGGGAGGATTTGCAGAGGAGTGGCCTGGTCTCCTGTGTCGCGGTCTCCTGTGTCGCGAGGGTCCCTTGAGTGCCGTGCGGAGGAGAAGGCCCTTCGGGGCAGGCCGACCACCAGCCACAGACGTCAGGACAGAGCGAACAAGTTCCGAGAAGAGGCTGGAGGGGCCTCGAGTGCTGGGAAAGGAAGAGCTGGGGTGGGCCAGGAGGGCAGAGGGCACTGCCCCCTCACTGGTGGTCTGTCTGTCCTTCCTGCAGGTGACGCTGATTCCCACCTTTGACTCGGTGGCCATGCACAGGTGGTACGAGGAGACACGCGCCCGGCACCAGGCGCTGGGCATCACGGTGCTGGGCAGCAACAGCATGGTGTCCATGCAGGACGAAGCCTTCCCGGCCTGCAAGGTGGAGTTCTAGCCGTGCCCCGACACCACCTCCGCCCCCACCCTGACATTCCCCACACCAGGAATAAACCGTGCCCTCTGCTTGGCTGTGGCCTCCATTCTGTCGGCCAACAGGAGACTCACCATGTGGGCCCCAGTCCTGGGGGAGCAGCTTCCGTTCCGTGGACTCCCCAGTGACCCTATCGGTGGGGCTTGCTCTGGCCACCTTGTGGCAGATGGGGAAACCCGGGCCTCTCAGGCCCTGGCGGGGGGGCGGGGGGGCGCCTCTCAGAGTTAACGACCGTGGCCTCCACCCCAGTGCAGCAACCATGAGGGCCCAAGTCACTGAAGGGAAGTAGCTGCCTGACCCCATCAGACAAGCCCGTTGGTGCCCAGGGTGGGATTTGGATACTGGTTGCTGTGCTCCAAAGCCGTAAAGCAAAATTGCCATTCTGTCTCTGGTGATGATCAGTCGTTCCAGGAAAGTGACACTGTACAGGGAGGTTTTTCTTTTCTTTTTTTTTTCCCCTTGAGACAGAGTCTCCCCCCCCCGCCCCAGGCTGGAGTGCAGGGGCACAATCAAAGCTCACTGCAACCTCCAACTCCTGGGCTCAAGCGATCCTCCTGCCTCAGCCTCCTGAGTAGCTGGGACTACAGTCGTGTGCTGTCATGCCCGGCTAATTTTTTATTTTTTGTAGAGACAGGGGTCTCACTGTGTTGTCCAGGCTGGTTTCAAACTCCTGGCCTCAAGTGATCCTTCCACCTCGGCCTCCTGGAGTGCTGGGGTTACAGGCATGAGCCATTGTGCCTGGCCTGGAAGGTTTTATAGAGGAATCTGAAACCCCAAGATTGCAAATCATCACTTCCTGAGGAACACGCTCCCTGACCTTTCTCTGCACGCACAGAAGCTTCAGATTTAGCGTTAGATGTGGTGTCGTCCATGCCGAGTTGAATGGCAACCTCAAAACACGTGTCCAAGTCCTGGCCCTGACTCCTGTGAATGTGGTCTTACTTTAAAAATGGGTCTTTGCAGATATAGTTAAGTGAAAGAGCTCAAGATGAGATGATCCTGGATTACCCAGGGCGTCCCAGAATCCAATGGCATGTGTCCTGTGAAAGAAAAGGAGACCACTGAAGACGGGGGCAGAGATTGCAGTGATTTGGCCACGTGCCAGGAAACTCCTGGCGCCATCAGAAACTGGAAAGAGACAAGGAAGGACCCTCCCCTTGAGCCTCCGGAAGGGACCGACCCCCCGACACCTTGAGTTTGGACTTCTGGTCTCCAGAACTGAGAAAACAGCGTCCTGTTGTTTTAAAGCACTGGCTTGTGGTTATTTGTTAGAGCAGCCACAGGAAACCAACACACCATCCGTTGTGTGTCCTGAGCTGGTCGGCAAACTGCCCTCCTCTCTGGAAACGGGGGCTTAAATCACTTTTGCAGCTCTGTAGGACTCTGTGGCGCAGACTTCTTCTGATGTCTCAGCTCGGGCTGCTGTAACAAAATCCCACGTGCTGGGTGGCCTAAACGACTTGACATTTATTTCTGATGGTTCCAGAGGCTGGGAAGTCCCAGATCAAGCTGCTGGCCAGCTTGGGTTCAGGTGAGGACTCTCCTTCTGGCTTGCAGACGGCCGCCTTCTTGCTGTGTCCTCCCGCGGCAGGAAGAGGAGAGAGATGGGGAGAGACGGTGCGCAGGCTCCGCTGAATCCCGTCGCCGCCCAAAGTCCCCGTCTGCAGATACAATCCCATTGCAGGTCAGGACTTCACCACAGGACTTTGGGGGGCACACAGCATTCAATCCATTACAGTTGGGGTTCAGAGTCCTGGGGCCACTGGCCAGCATGGAAACCTCCACAAATGATTAGTTACCGACACTCCGAGTGGGAGCCGTCCTCTGACAGTCTTCGTGGGATGTTGGGTCTTAATAACCATGGGATAGGCCATTGCGAAGGGCAGATGGGACAGGAGCTGTGCCCATGCCCACCACCTCCTGCCGGATGCCTGCTGCTGATGCCAAAGCAGCTCAACTCGTCACTGAGCTCAGCCGGCTGCCACCCGCCCTCCACACTAGCCCAGTTGACACAGCGGCACAAAGCCAGTCCTGCCCAGTCTCCTGGTGCCGGGGACATAGGTTATGACCCTTTCCCAGTTGTTACCAGATAAGGATGGACTTCTGGGGACACCATTTCTATGTGAGGCCAGCTCCCCGATTTTTCATTTGGCTAAACTGTTAAGTGACATCTGCCTCTTTTTCATTAAGATACAGCGTCTCACTCTGTCGCCCCAGGTAGAGTGTGTGGCTTCATCATAGCTCACAGCAACCTCAAACTCCTGTGCTGAAGCCATCCTCCTGCCTCAGTTTCCTGAGTAGCTGGGACTATGGACATGTAACACCACCCTTGGTGAATTTTTTATTTTTACTTTTTGTAGAGACGGGAGGGGGTCTCACTATCTTGCCCAGACTCTTCTTGAATTCCTGGCCTCAAGCGATCCTCCTGCCTTGGCCTCCCTGGGGATTACAGGCATGAGCCACTGCACCCCGCCTATTGGCCCCTCTCCTGCAAGCCAGGAAGAGGGCCCTCACCAGAACCCAGCCGTGCTGGCGCCCTGGTCTCAAGTTCCAGCCCCCAGAAGCATGTGAAAATAAATTCTCTTGTTTAAGCCACCAGTCTCTCATCCTTCGTCGTGGCAGCAGAGCTGGCTAATAGTTACGTTTCTGGTGCGTATGCAAGGACTATCAAATCAGAGCTTTTAATTCACCAAGAAGAGAAAACAGTCCTGAACTTGTATGCACCTGATAACAGAGCCTCAAAATATATGAAGTTAAGAACCACCGCAGGGGATCATAAGTACATCTTTGTTTTAGATCTGTCACTAGATTTTTCTCACACTGATGTAGCCTTATCGTATTCCTAGAAAGAACCCCGCTTTGATTTTATTTCCATCTTAATAAGCTGTGGGGCCTGGGCCCGCTCTCCGTATTTGGTGACTATTACCCCACCCCTCAGGTTTCTGATGTTGCTGTGTGCCTCGCCGCCCTCTCTCGGCCGCCCAGCGCGGCAGCTTCCCCCACCTGGACCGCAGGTCGAGGGAGGACAAGGAGACCCAGGAGGCAAGCACCGGCCCCTAAGGCCTTCCGGGGAAGTGACACGCGTTCTGCTCTCATTCCACTGGCCAAAGCAGGTCACACGACCCTTCCTAACTTCAGAAGCGGGAGGTGTACTCCTCCCTCTACCTAGAAGGAGAACCAGAAATAGTGGTGAAAATCACTAATGACCACTGACAGCTGTCCCCAAGAGAGATCATTTTGTCCTGGCAAGAGTTGGCAAACTTTCTGTAAAGAACCAAAGAGCAACATTTTTGGTGTCGCGTGCCGCGCTGTGGTCCCGAGACCACGGAACTGGGCCGTTGCAGCCGAGTCAGTCCGTGCGCCGTAACGGACACGTCAGCGATGAGCCGAGCGTCTCAGTGCCGCGGACCCTGGCTGCAAGTCGCCTAACCGGAGCATGACAGTCACGGCCCGGAGAAAGTCAGCACAGGGGAAACTAAGTCCTCTGAGCCAAGAAAGAGGAGCAGGGACCGGATTAGGAAGCAAGGGGTGCCCTGTTTCGTGGCGGTACAGACTTCAGAGCCAAGGACTCGTGACCACTGCTTTGCATGCCCGATCAGATCACACCTGGTTCCGTTTTCCCCTCTCCCCGCTAGCTCCCCTCTGCCTGTGAACCCTACCCCAGCCCCACTGTGGGGGGGATGTGCGTGTCACCTTCTGTCTCCTTGCCGCTAGACTCGAAATAAATCTTTCTCATTTCTCAAAAGTCGGTGTCATGGATTGGCTTCTGTGTGTGTTGGGAGGGGAGCCATTGCTCAATGACAGAGGCTGCATTCCAGTAAGACTTTATTTATAAAAAGAGGCAGTGGGCTCAGTTTGGGGTGGGCTGTCGTTTGCCAACCGCTGGTCCAGGGCAGTGGCCTCTGACTCTTGCCCATCTACAGGCTAGGAGAGTTTGGGAGCTGCAGGGCGTGTCTCTGTCTTTGTCTCTCTCTGCGTCTCTCTTTGTCTCTTCCCTTCTCTCCCTCTCCTCCCTCTCTCCCTCTCTCCCCCTTCCTCCCTCTCCCTCACCCCCCAAATCCTTCCTGGCAGCTGTCTGGCCCAGACTCTGCCCCCTTGTGCTAGAGCATGCACTAAAAATATCCTGGCTGCTGTCAAAGCACCTGGGGACCCTGGAGCAGGTGGCAGGAGGCGGATGTGTGACCTTGGCCAGGCTCGTCTGCAGTGGACCCTCCCTGATACTAACCCTGCGCCACAGCCACCCAGATTGCTCCGATTTCTGGGTGTTGCTTCAACACCCCAGGTCCTGCCCCCAGGTCTTCACGGTGGCGTCCTCTGCCTGGAATGCCCTGGACGCTGCCCTCCAGGGGGGCCGGACACGCACAAGGAGGCAACGACCCGCGGTGCGGGCGTGGGGAGGTGGCGGTGGCCCCAGCACTGCCGCGTGGGGGTGCAAGGAGTGAGCCTCGTTTGGGGAAGAGGACGCTCTGGAGGAGGGCGGGGCAGGGGCAAAGGCGCGGTCTGCTGCTCTGCAGCTGCCTGGACGCCCCGCTGAGCAGCTCGCTGAGCAGCCGGGACTAGCCCCAAGGGTGGGGAGGCGGGCTTCGGACACGGACTTGGGGGAAGTGTGTGGCGGGAGGCGGCTGGGTCCTGGTGGGGTGTGGCCAGGGCACATTTCTGGGAAGATGTGGGAAGCAGTGACGGGGAACCCCACTGCTATGGCCCCTCCTCCAGGAAGCCCTCCTTGCTCCCTGCTGGTCCACGTCCTCCGCCCTTCCTCTGGCCCTTTCTGACCCACCCCCTTTGAAATGTCATTTTGTCCATGAGCACATCACCCGCTTGTATTCGCTTCTAGTTCATAGCCCTGCTCTTAACTCTCTTGTTTGTGTGATATCCCTTCCCCCTCACTGTGAGCTGGTGCGAGCCGTGCCCGTTCTGTTTTGGTGGTTGCTGGGTCCCCAGTGCCAAGGACAGGGTCTGGCATCCACCTGCGCACTGCAGGTACTCAGGAAATGGTGACTGTGTCCCAGCTTGGCAGCACT